TTTTTTTTTTTTTTTTTTTTTTTTTTTTTTTTTTTTGAGACAGGGTCTACCTGTAGCCCCAGCTGGTCTGGAACCAGCTATATAGAGCGGGCTGGCTTCAAACTCACAGGGATCCACCTGCCTCTGCCTCCCAAGTACTGGGATTAAACGTGTGCACCACCACGCCCAGCGGATTTCTTTTTTTTTTAACTTGTATATTCAACACTAAACTTTTGTTATGTATGTCATTTTCAGATACTTTGTCCCACTCTGTAGGTGCCTCTGCAGTTGTAGGTTGCCTCTGCTAGGGAGACATTTTTCGTTTGAAGCAGTTGTACTTGTATGATTGGCCTGTTTCCTGTGGTGTGTGGGATTTTTCCAAAAAAGTTTTGCCTGTTCTGATATCTTGAAGCATTTCTCCTGTGTTTTCTTCTAGTAGATTTATAGTTTGGGGTGATACCTATAAGTCTTTAGCCTGTATGAGCTGATTTCTAAAAGTGGTTAGAGATAGTCTAGTTCATTCTTCTGCAAGTAGATAGCTAGATACCAATAGTTGTCATTTGTAAGAAACAAAATCCATGATGACCTTGATTAAATGGTGTGCAAAATATATTTTATGTATTTATGGAAAGAAAAAAGCATATAAATTTTGAAAGAGTTCTTTAAACTCTGCACCCAAAATAATTAGTAAGAATCAGTGATAAAACTAATTACTTATTTGAAAACGTGGAACAAAAGATGCCTGGAATGAAAATCGGTCAGCTGTCTATTAGTAACTCTGTCATTCGACTTTTAAGGAAAGTTTTAACAAAGTGTTTTAATTTTTTTTTTTTTTTTGAGACAGGGTTTCTCTGTAGCCCCATCTGGCCTATAAACTCACTTTGTAGACCAGGCTGGCCTTACTCTTACAGAGATCTGCTTGCCTCTGCCTCCCCAATGCTGGGATTAAAGGTATGTGCCACCATGCCTGGTTTAACAGTGTTGAATGTTAATACTAGCATAATGGTATCTTAAAAAACATAGCCTCTATATAAAGGTAAAGTTAAGTGCTGATTCCATTTCCCTACATTAAAAGGTGCTTTAGATTTAAACCATTATAAAATGTTGGTTTTTTACTAAGATTACATTAAATATTCCTCTTTCCAATTTTCAAGGATACTACCCACCACCTCCAACGGTACCAGCTGGTGTGGCTCCCTGTGTTCCTCGCTTTGTGAGGTCCAATAATGTTCCAGAGTCCTCCCTCCCACCTGCTTCCATGCCATATGCTGATCATTACAGTACATTTTCCCCTCGAGATCGAATGAATTCTTCTCCTTACCAACCTCCTCCTCCGCAGCAGTATGGACCAGTTCCTCCAGTACCTTCTGGAATGTATGCTCCTGTGTATGACAGCAGGCGCATCTGGCGCCCAGCTATGTACCAACGAGATGACATTATTAGAAGCAATTCTTTACCTCCAATGGATGTGATGCACTCATCTGTCTATCAGACATCTTTGCGGGAAAGATATAACTCATTAGATGGGTATTATTCAGTGGCTTGTCAGCCACCAAATGAGCCAAGGACAACAGTGCCTTTGCCAAGGGTAAGTGATGATAAGAGTAGAAATACTATTGCCATGCAGCAAAGACCCTGTGTCTGCAGTCCCCACGCCACACTGTACCTTCGAGAGTTATTTGACATTCTGTGACTCAGTTTTTTCATTTGTTTAATGGAAATAAGAGTAGTACCTACCTCATATGGCTGTTGTGAGAATTAAATTAGAAAAACAAAGCTCTTAGAAGTAGACTTGATACATACAAATTTTCAAAAAGTGTTATGTTCAAATAGGAACAGATGGGAAGGTCAAAAAAAAATCTTAAATAAAAGAACAAGGCCTTTTTCAATAGTACCACATAATACAGTTAACTTTTCTAAACTAGAAAAGTGAGTGCTCACATTTTACTTAACATGAGTTGAATAAATGTTAATCTTTTTGTTGAAGTGTATAGAGAAAACACTAGGACAACTTCTCTGTTCTGTCCCAGCAATATCATAAACTGTATACATGATTTTCACAGAACAAAGTTAAATTTCTTCACCACTCTATAGGTGATCAAGACTTTTTTCTTTTATCCCCCCTTAGGAACCTTGTGGTCATTTGAAGACCAGTTGCGAGGAGCAGATGAGAAGAAAGCCAGATCAGTGGGCACAGTACCATACTCAGAAAGCGCCTGTCTCTTCAACTCTTCCTGTGGCAACACAGTCACCAACACCACCTTCTCCTCTATTCAGTGTAGACTTCCGTACGGATGTAAGAAAGGTTTTATTCACACTGATCACAAGAGGTCAAATAGCTGACTTCAAGTTATTCATTCAAACTAGGGTTAACTATTTTGGATATTTTGCAATGATTTGGTGTGTAGTTGAATTTAGTTCCATAAACAGTCTATATGCTATGGCTAGGTTTTAAAGAGATTCTCAAGACCATCCAGACAAGTCCTTTACCAGGGTTTCCAAAGCTTTCTATTTGTATACTTAGCATCTTATGATATTTTCATTGTTTTGGTTGTCTGTTTTAAGTTGGGGAACAGACACACAGCCTTGCATATGTTCTACCACTGAGCTATGCCCACAACCCCAGTTGGTATGTGCTTAGCATGAACAGAGTATGAACAGGGTTCTATGTGCAGCACCACAAAGAAAGAAAAAAAAA